TTACTCCTTGTAGTGAATATGGTAGACTTAATAGATCAGCTTCTGGTCGATGTCCTGATCATATAAAAGGATTTTACGTCTCTCAGCACTATCAGAGGTTGCGTTCTAGGGCTTTAATGAATGGTAGCTAAGCTATTAAAATTTTGGTATTTTATACTCTGAACTCCTATCTAGAGGTGAGACTTTTATGATCTTATTTGAAATTTTGGTACTTCATCTAGAATTTTGGTATCTATTACCCTTATATATTCGAAAATTTTGGTATTCTGATACTATTTTTTGTCCTAGTTTTGCGTAAATGAAATGGTTTTAGAATGTGTTCTTATATATTAAAAAAATGGTATACTAGAATGTGTTTTGTGACTTTTTAACTTTCTTGTGTGCATACAAATTTTGGTATCCACATTGCAGTGGGTACCAAAATTATGATCTTGCCAACCGATAATGAATCAACTTTAGAATTGATTCTAGAATAACATGAAAATATAGTATGCTAATTAGGCTTGCTTTGGTGAACCGCGAGTACTGAGGACCAAAGTGTCCGAGTGTACTCGCTGTTCTTTTTCAAGAGCAAGTAGTATTGCATACTTTTTCGTTATATTATTTGAGATTAAAAAGAGGCCAGCATGTTAACAAAGATGGTATACATCTTAGTCTTGGAAATGCAAAATTTGGATAAGGAGATATGTTAATAAATTTAAGCCCTAGCTCGATTTTAAGTATGAATTTAATATTGAATTTTGATATGTTTCCTGATGATAAAGAGCGGATTGGGGTTTAATAGGATTATAGATTTTTTTTGTATGTCAGAAAAGCAACTAGGAGACTATAGAGGATCACTGGTATATTTGGAGATTCTGTTTCAGAACCCCCAAAAATGCCTATATGATGATTATTTGCTAAGCTATTATAATGCTAGGTTGTCAGAATACTAGGTTGTTAAAGTACCAGTATGACAAATGTTCAAGATATCAGGCTGGCTTAATTAATATTTTTTATATATTTAGAGATGAAAATTCTTAAATAGCTTAATATCCATACTCTCCTTTAATATATTTCTTTAGATACATTCACTTTGCAATCTTCCTTTTACACTTTTATGATAATTTTGATTTAACATTTTAACTTTATAATTTTACATATACTTATCTATTAAAAGTTACCAGCAGTTGTGAAAATCAGTATTTTTTTAAAAAAATTAATAAATTTTAAACTGGATTTATATACAAAAACTTTATTTATATTTTTAAAAAAATTTTATATTAGAATCCTAAAGTTATGAACTTTTTGAATATTATATTAATATATTATAAGATTTTCTTTACTTTTAATTACAGTTTTAACTCTACTTAATATACTATTTACCAATTTTTCTAAATAATATTCTCAAATTTCAACTACTTTTCTGTTAAAATTGCAATAAGTTTCCTTTATTTTTTAGTCAAAATTTATGTTCATATATAATTATGTCTAAAAATAATATCCAATTTTATATAATATTATAATACACCAAATTTATATTATTTATACCTACCTCCTTTTTTATTTTTAAATGTTTTTCTTATAATTTCATAAACTAATAAATGCATTATAAAATTAAAAAAATAATGTCACATAGAACTGAGTTAACTTCTTAAGATAAGGAGAAAATATTTGTATATATAAAGAATTTTAATATGCACAAATAGCAAGAAATATAGGTTGTGATCTCACTATAATAAAAAAAATCATTAACAGATATAAGAAAACAGGGAAAACTAAAAATTTACCTAAATCAGAACATCTACCTATTCTCGATAATATGAGACAAATATATTCATAAATGAAGTTATATAAGATTAACGTGAATCTTTACATGAAGTTATTAATACACTAGATTTATATTATAGTCTTATAACTACTAAAAGAGTATTACATGATGTTGGAATTTATTTTTATATTACTGCAAAAAACCTTTATATAAAAAAGTATGCATTAGTTCGTATTAGTTGGTGTAAGAAATATTAAGAAAAATAGCTTATGATTAGGCATAAGATATTTTCTTAGATGAATCAAGTATTGAGATTAGCAAGCAGTCATGATAAATAAGAGTTTGAAAATACACAGAGGAAATGTTTAACACTGAATACTTAATATCTATCTTTAAAAGTGGTTAAAAATCAGTTATAGTTTGAAATGTTTTGCAGGAAGGATAAAAGAGCCATTAATTTTTATGATGAAAATAAAGAAGGAATTGAAAAAATCAATTCAAATACTTACATTAGAATCTCAAATTCATATCTATATCCATTTCAACATACAGTTCATGAGTTAACAGGAAGGGCTGCAATTTTTCAACAGGATAATACACTTATTCATACTGCAAAAATAATTAAAGATTGGTTAAAGTAGAATAAAATTGTGGTTATTGATTGGCTAATAAATTTTCCTAACGTAAAAACATTTAGAAATAGTTAAAAGACAATATCCAGAGTTATAAGGTCTTTTTAAGAACTGTTGGTAAACTTAAAGTTGCATTAAGTGAAGAATAGAAAAATTTGGATTGCTCCATTTTTGAAGAGATTGTTGCTTCAATGCTATAAAGAATAAATGCAATACTAGAAGTAAGGGAAAGGCTTACACATTATTAATTATTTTTATAATTATTTTTAATGTGAATTTTAATGAAAGTCAATAAAGTTTTACCATTTTTTTAATTTTAAATCAGACATCACTTTTAGATATGACTGTACTTTCCTTGCAAAATGATTCTACAAATGCTTAATTGGATTAAGATCTAGGATATTAGTAGGCCATAGAATAAAAGATATTAAATTTTTCTTTTTATATTCAAGTACTAAATTTGTTCTATATACAAAAGTATTATTATCTTAAAAAGTAAAGAAAATGTCTTTATCTAAGCTTTTTATAAAAGGTAATAAATGAGTTTCTAATAAATGTTTATATATTTCTTCTGTAATTTTTCTATCTAATACTACTAAAAGACCAAGTATATTTTTAATAAAACAGCATCAAATCATTACCCATTATTATCTGACTTTACTGTAAGAATCAAGCATTTACATTTAAAGCTCTGAACGGTTCAGATTAATCTGAAAATTTTCAGTTCGGATCAACTTCGGTTCGGTTTTGAATTGCAAAAATTCAATCTGAAAATTTTGGATTAATCTGAAATTTCAGATCGTTTGAAACGATGAAATTATCATTCTAAATGAACGATAAAAGGATCGTTCAATTAGAACGATTAAATTATTATTTCAAACGAACGATTAAATTATCATTCTAAACAAACGATGAAAGAAAATTGTTTGATTGAAATGATGAAATTATCATTCCAAACAAATGATAAAAAATCATTCATTTGAAACAATTGAAGTTATCGTTCTAAACGAATGATAAAGAATTGTTTGATTGGAATGATTAAATTATCATTCCAAAAGAATGATAAAAGAATTGTTCGTTTGAAATGATTGAAGTTATCATTCCAAATGAACAATAAAAAAATCGTTTGATTGAAACGATTAAATTATCGTTCTAATCGAACGATAAAAAAATTGTTCATTTAGAACGATAAAAGTTATTATTCCAAATGAACGATAAGAAAATCATTTGATTAGAACGATTAAATTATCATTCTAAAAGAACGATAAAAGAATCGTTCATTTGGAACGATTGAAGTTATCATTCCAAACGAACAATAAAAAAATCATTCAATTAGAATGATTAAATTATCATCCCAATTGAACGATAAAAAAATTGTTAGTTTAGGACGATTGAAGATATCGTTCCAAATGAATGATAAGAAAATTGTTTAATTAGAATGATCAAATTATCATTCTAAACAAATGATAAAAGAATTATTCGTTTGAAACGATTAAATTATCATTTCAAACGAACGATAAAAAATCGTTCATTTGGAACGATTGAAGTTATTATTTTAAACGAACAATAAAAGAATTGTTCGATTAAAACGATTAAATTATCATTTTAAAAGAATGATAAAAGAATCATTCGTTTAGAATGATTGAAGTTATCATTTCAAATGAACGATAAAAAAATCTTTGATTGTAACGATTAAATTATCGTTCCAATCAAACGATAAAAAATCGTTCATTTGGAATGATTGAAATTATTGTTCGTTTAGAACGATTAAATTATCATTCCAAAAGGATCGTTTCAAACGATCCAAAATTTTGGATTAATCCCAAATTTTCAGTTCAGTTCGAATTTTTACCAGTTTACGATTCAGTTCAGTTTCGGATTAGCATTTTTAGGATTTATAATCTGAACTGAACTGAACTGAAATTTTCAGATTGGTTTCAGATTGGCCTATAATCCTGACCAAACTGAACTGTTCAGAGCATTATCTACATTGTATTTTTATAAAGTCTTCTCCAAACCTATTATTGTCCATCATTTTCAAATAAAAGAAATTGGAATTCGTCATTTCAAATTACATTATTCCATTTTTCATCTCAGAATTTATGCTCTTAATATCATTTTAAACACTTTTTTCTATTTTTTTGAAACAAAGGGTTTTCTTTTTTCAACCCAGCTAAAAAAATCAAATTTGTATAACATACGCCTAGAAGTACTAACATTAATTTTGATAAGGCCAAGTTGGTTGAAACTTTTGGTAATTTCTTTAAGAGAAACTTTTTTATTTTTTTAACTTGACGTATAAAAGTTTAACTTTCATGTTTATTCAAAAGTGGTGGTCTTCCTGAATGAGGAGGAATGTCTGTAAGACCTTCTTCACAAAATTTTTTAATGATATCCTGGCAAGTGTTTCTTGATATATTCAAAATTTTAGAAATATTACTAGCTTCATGATTATTACCCTTGTGAAGTCCAATTATCATTCCACGTTCAAAAACAGTTTGTTCTTTGTGTTTTTCCATTTTTAAAAACATTAAGCAGTAAAATTACAAAAATTTTCTTATAGTGCGAGTTTCTAGCTAAGCCTGAAAAAAAGATTGCCAAATTTGGTCAGATCTACAGTGATAACTCTGGCTCAAAAAAAGTAACACATGGCAAATTTTAATTTACCGATCTTAACTATTTCAAATATTTAGTAGCGGAGTTTCTCGTCATCTATTGGTCATAGAAAAAAATAGCTTGTTGGATTTGTCATAATGAGACGCATCTAACAGTGGTATTTTTATCCCTTTAATGCAAATAGATGAAAAGTTATTTACACATTTCATTTTAAAGATTTTTGTGAATATATTTTTATCTATTGATCCTAGAAATACGAATTCACCTCCTTTAGATGCGCCTGGTTATGTCAAATCTAATACGCTGTAACTCCATCCTTTTATAATCACTGGATGGTGAGAAAATGCGATTTAAAGTTTTAAAAAAAGGACCTGCCGGCGACTTTTGGTAGGTGAGTGTATGTAACATCATTTATTATTTTATTTCAATTTCCGATTTTATTAGTAGTTTATTATTCAAATGTTTATGTAATTATTTCGTATTTGCGTAGTTTTAATTAAATAGAATTTTATTACTTGGCATTTACATAGTTTAATATATTGAAAAAGCGAAAGTGTAGAGCGCCGAACACTGATTAATTTGATAATATTAAATAAATTCTTGTCATTATTACTTCATATTTATTCAATTAAATACCTTCTGCTTACAATACAATTGTTTATAAATTCATAAACGAAAGAACTGAGTACAACAATATGTGAAAATGATAATAATAAAGCAAAGCTCATGATAAAAAAGTGATTTAAAAAGTGCGTAATGAACAAAGTTTTGCAAAAACTTTCTTTAATGATTCAATAAATATTGTGAATCACAAGTTCTTTTAAGTTCCTCCGTTACGTTCTAAGATTCAATTTGTACTATAAATTGAGTTAACTTGTCGAAAATCTAAAGATTCTTCAAATTTTCCTTCCATCAAAGAATATAGTAGATTTAAAAAAATATGGTAATTGATAAATTTCTCCATGAATTGTAAACTATTTAATGTATTAAAATATTTGAAAATAGGTGACATATCTATTGTTTAACCAATCAATCTTTTCAAAGTAAGAAGAAATATCGTCGTAAAATAAATTTGCAGTTTTTTAAAAAGAAACTTTGTATTAATATAATTTGAATACTATGTAACTATATAACGTTTTCAGATTGGTGATTTCTATGAAAAGGATTAATTTGTAATAATACGATTAACTGAGAAACAACCTTTAATTAATGGTACATATTGAAATGTAGTATTTGAAGTCGGGGTTGAAATAATGGTTGGTATAGTATTTCTTTTAAATCATCATACAATTCAGAAAAAATCATAGCCTTTGACTAATAAACATGAAGATAAAACTTTTGGACCAACAAGTTAAAATATCATTTAAACAGAAAGAAGGAAGCGGGGACGCATTTTGATTAAGAAACAAAACCAAAAAGGAAATTCCCTATTAAATTCGATTATCGATTTATAAAAAAAAAATACCCGATTATAAAAGAAAATTTTCTAATCGTATATTTAAACAATTTGCCGCCATTTGTAATTTTTTAAATAAAAAGTCTTTATTTAATTTTTAAAAATTTCTAAATAACTTTAACTTCGTACATCATGAATTGTGTCTCATATTTTATGCTAATATTAATTAAACAATTTTTATTTGTCGCCGGCGATCCTCATAATTTCATTTTGTTTTCTCTTTTGATACCATTTATAGCCAAGGATTCCAAT